GAGAAAAGAATGAATCACAAGATTGCCATGAATAACGAGAATTCTACTTATGAAAATGAAAGGTCAGAAGATCTACCTGGAAGTGGCCCTAAGAGACTTTCATTCGTGAAAGACCAGAGATAAGACGATATTGACTCACAGAGACATGGAGACATATATGAGACCTACTTCATGTAATTGGTCATTTCTTGAGTAATGGGCCAGGAATACAGACCGGAGATCTGTCGGATGATTGAAGGATTCATGGATATGCGATCACAGGTCAAAAAGAAACACTCTCATAAAATGACAAATTACTCATTTATCCCGCTTTTGTGGTGAATGTATCAAATATCTTCAGAAAATAAACATTCTCACCATCTTACTCTCTCAACGTCAATGCATTTTGCAAAAAAGAAAAAAATCATAGAATCATTCAGCCGCTTCAGTGGGTCCATCCCCGTCCTTCAAGCATGTACGCAACACAGCTTCTCTATCTTTCGTCGTAGGAATTGGCAAATGATCTTCCGCTTCACCGTGATGATCAAACTTCAGGAATATTAAAAAACTTCCACATGGACTTCCACATGAACTTCCCCATATATTGTTCAATGATGATTCTAAATGTATCGATTTATTAGTAAAATATCCTCATTTTCCCCTAAAAAATGTGATTGGATATGGCAGGCAGAATTAGCGCGGGAGCGCTTCTTTATGCATACTTAATTGTTGGCACATTGCAACATTAAGTCCCAAAGAGAAGAAATAATGGATTTTAAGTTTTTTTTTGTATCTGAGGATCTGACCTGAGTGTTCCACTTGAAGCTCCTCACGACTAGGAGATAGCACCTCAGGCTCGACCTCAGCCCTGACCCTAGTCTGACGGGATCTCCTCGCAAGACTGTATGACTTAGAAGTGACTTTCTTCGTTACCTCTATTGAAGCCTTCCATAATGACTTCAAAAAGTCACCGCGTGAATTCATGAGGTAAAGCCGTTTAACTATTTAGACTTTCTCACCCAATCCTACTGCAATTGGTAGTGGTAGGTTGTTGGAGCGTCATGGACACAAAAGACACTCCCAGAATCGAACCCTTCTCGGAGTTCCAAGTCGGAAGCGATGAACTAAAAGCAGGAAATGGAGGCATTTAGCATAAAGGTATCACAGACGACGCTATGAACTAATGGAATTTGCCCCAGAGCGTCTAATTCAGGGGGAAATGCAACAGTCTAGAGGGCGTGGATCCCATGAAGCGCAGCAAAGACTCCAATCGAGAGCAGCGACTGCGGCAATAGAACTGGTGCCTTCGATTGTGATAAACGGGCAGAAATCCCGGAAGGCAGAGTTAACGTAAACTACAGAGGTTTGAGGGAAATTATTTTGCGTCCCTTAAATGCCAGCGGCTGTGAAATCGCTTGAAATTTCCACGATGGGACATGAAAGATGACATCGAAAATTTCGAATGTGGAAAATAGTCGGAAGAGTAATAAAATGGTACTGTTTCCAATAACTGCTCGAGATCTGACCGAAGATGTTACACACTGGAAGGTAAGACAAAAACGAATTAGGTTATTGATAGCCCCAGGAGCTAAAGAACTTGGCTGAAGTATGCATTAATGTCAAATTTTTCCTGAACACATCAACACGAACTCCTTCGGACATTGAAAGTTAATGAATTCAAGGCGTCTCAATTAAGAACCGTAAACATTTTCAAAATCACTCTTATATTACCAGATAGCGAAAAATAATGTTCGCACAAAAAGCAAAAGCCAAATGTTTCCAGAATGCTTAAAAAAAAAATTGAGAAAAAAAAGGACTGGGAGAAAGGGACCCGTACCAAGATGGAAGGGTTGGGAAACATGGTCAGGGTTCAGTTACTATCACTTCCAAGAATATAAAGGAAAATGAAAATAATGTCGAGGTAGAGGATGAGAGCTCCAAATATATGCTCCTCGGGATTCAACTCGTGCTTCCGACCTCCCAAAATTAGCTGGGTGTCATACGCCAGATACTACAGGGGAAAAAATCGTGACATCAGTATCATCCCATCAGCTAAAAAAAAAAGCATTCTTCATCGTTACAATAGTTTTTGATGAAAATACGAATATCCTCGCTCGACAGTTCGACTTCCTCCCTCCTGTCCTCCCATCACATTAACGTGTTGTACAATATAACATGCCTCAAAACATGCAGTTCCATTTAATACACGATGTTAAAAAAAAAAACTTTTTCCTAATAATGACAATATTTATACACCAGATCGATGCTATTTTTAATCACTGCATATGAATAGAGTAAAGAAGGGAAGTACCTAATTAACAGAAAATCGTAAAATTGCATCACGTTCAATGCCAGTTCGTACTTGATAGGTAAAAAAGTGTGCCGTACAAGCCTGCTGATGCGTTTGCTTCAGCCAGTGAAGCAAAGGAAAGTTTGTGCGTGCCTTACCATAGAGGCAGAGGTCGTATTGCTTTCGTCACCTGTTTTGATAACGACATTTTTGACCAATTCGAAAAAAAAATGTATACCTGGTATCGGACAAACATTTCGTTATCAAATTAGGAGACGAAGGGAAAGCGCCACTCCCTCTGCCTTATAGACTATTTGGAAAGACACGCACAGACTTCCGTTCACTTTACTGACAGAAGCGAACGCAACCGCGGGCTTGTACGGCACACTTTTTTACCTATTAAGTTTGGCCTGGTACATAATGTGATATTGAGGGTCAATATTCTTAAAATTAAGTACTTCTCTTCTTTACTCTATTAACATGCCGTGTTTAAAACATTGTGCCAAACTATTAAAATTGCTCTCGTTATTAGCGAAATTGATTTGGCACTTTTTTTAAAACACCGTGTAGAATTGTCGTTCTCTTGTACACAATTTAGGAATATCATTAATTTTCATTCATACCATCGGAAGTCTATAACTGGGTGTGAATCACAATTGATACCGCTTTTCGTCTGAAGAAAATGAATTGGAAGGTCCCAAGCTTTGTTTCATAGCTATTCATGAAATCCGTGTATTAAATGAGAGAAAGAAAAAGGTGCAGGGGGACTCGAGAAACATGTTTCGATACTCACCACCGTGAAGAGTAGCGCAAAGAGACCGGAAAAACATGCATTTAAGATTCGTCCTGATTCTGGGTCGGTTGCATATATTGTGATTGCAGCTATACCGGATGCAGAAAAAACTATTGAACATATGAAGAGGTAAAAGCCCCACCCTGTCACGTCCCACTGCAAAAAACGTAGTATTTTCAGTTAGAGTTTGCATTTCTTTTGCACCAAAAATAGCTCCATAAATAGCTTTTGAGTGTGGAATGTTCCTTTAGGAAGCAGGGTCGTACCTTGGTAGCAGCGGCGAAGATGGAAACTAATATGGTTACTCCAGCCGTGATTCCAAATGCCATAAGCACAATCTCGGTTTCGTGGAATGCCGAGATTGTAGCCGCCATAAATGCTAATGCCCCAGTCTGAAATCCGACAAAGGCCCATCATAATAATTTGCGTCCACGTGATTCCTTGCCGATATAGTGATCAATCCATTTTGGTTCTTTTTAGGAAGGTGAAAGTCAAAAGCCATGTTCGACGTGAAGAAATAAAAATAATCTACAGTTGGCCCATTTACATCGTAATTGTTGCCATGTTGTATGAAGAAACGGCCAATAAATTGCTCACGCGAACGTTCTTCTCATAAACACAGCCAAACAGTTCTGGGAAAGGGATGAATGAATTGGATTTTTTGGAAGCGTCGCTGCAATTTGCAAGCGTCGCTGCAATTTGCAAGCGTCGCTGCATGAGGATGGTATGAAAAATAATGTTTAAAATTTTCCAAAACGCTTTCTTTAAGTTAGTTTTAGACTTATTCGAATACGTGATTTTAAAAATATTTCATTGCTGCAAACAATATACTTAGATTCAAACGTAATCTTCATATCAAAATGCATTTTTAGCTGTATTGCCCACAAGCCAGTTTCATTTTGTATGCAACAGGATAGATTATCTGATTCAGTAATCAGCGAAAAAATCCGAAATAATTCCATCCTTCGAAATAATGATAATTAACTTTTCCAATGATATTTCTTTGCAGGACATCATTCAAGATGAATAAAGCTGCTGTATATATTTCATGCCAATATTTTTCTATTCGGACCACGCATGTTCATAATTGTTGACAAAAACTGGTGATCACAAATTACGACCAAAAATTGGGACCAGGCCACACATCCATTTTAATATTTTATTTTATGGTTTGGGCATCAAATTATGATACGTTGCCTCCCATTGAAACCAATCATGCGGTTTCTCGGTCGCCCCAACGACCGTAATTTAATTCTCCAGAGGAAAATTTCCTTAACCCGTCCACAAACTGGTGCCTTTACCCTATTTTGTTTCCACACGGACGTTCTTGCATGGACCATTATTCTCCGACTGAAAACATTTTCTGATGTATATAATCATTGACTAGTTCTCTCTTCCTAGAAATTGATCCAGTTTCAAAAAAAATGAAAACTTATGTTCGTGCATAAAATCATCGACAAGCTTCACGCTTGCCAAGACAAAACAGAGCGCGGATGGGACGAAAATGTCTGATCCATACGTTCGTGAGAAATTTATCATTAAAGATTGTAAGCCGAGAATTTATTGAGGTAGGATGGAGAGGCATAAGCCTTTGTTGACCTTTGAAAGTTATTCTCTGGTCGCCTTAAGAATTTTCCTTGGTTCGATCAGATAGCAGGGAATGCGAGAGGTTGGGCTCTGCATGCACATTCAAAGGAGAAAATTTTTTTAATGATTTATGACTCACTCGAGCCATGGGTTGTGCAAAAGTTCTCGTACACTTTGAATATCTAATTTTTTCACTAATCAACGGATTTTTGGCAATTCTGATGTGTTTTTTTTAATACTACGGACATTTTTGATACGAAATGTTTTCATTGTAGTAAAGTTCATTCTCACTTTGAATTTTTTTCTCTGGAGCTATGACGCCTAAAAAGAATCGAAGCGCTAATCAAAGTATACGGGAGCTTTTGCACGACCCTGTATTGATAAGTAGAGGGGAAATTATGAAAGGTGCTTCGCAATTACCGTTCCTTTCATGGTAAGAAACATGCAAGGTATTGTGAACTACATGCTTGATTTTTCCTAGCTAGGTAAGGGCATAATAGCCGCAACGGATATATTTTAGTAGGTCCGTAAACGCATCCCGATGACATGCAGCGCAAAGAGCAACCACTTCCAGCTCTAATCCAAGGCTGAGAGATCAAAGATCCACAGAACTTACAAAAATTGCGAGGGCCCACACATTCGCGGGGTATGTCCGCCTCAAGCTTGAGAAGCAGATCAGGACGAAAAGTGTCACTAAGAATATACCGCTGTGGACAGAAAGACAAAGTAGGAGAGAAAGGTGAGAAAGAGAGAGAGACGGACGCCTAGCAATGATTCTAGAAAGATTTGAGATAATTTCTAGGAAACACTTTGAGAACTCACTATGCAGTCCAATACATCCACATGTTTTCAAAGATGAAGGTCTTAATCCCATCACTATAATAGAAAGGTAAGCATAGAAGATTTCATTAGAAACATATTGATGTGACGTAAAGAACATGCAGAGTATTGGGTTTTATAGGGAATGCGCGAGGTGGATTCCTGAAAACGAACAAATATTCAGTGATTCGAGATGAAAAAGGTTCATGATTCTCACAATTCTTTCCTAGCCATCCTTTTCCACTTCATGAAGCCCGAAAATGCAACAAATAACTCATTGACCAAATAACTTTTCTGCTCAAGCCTTAAATATATCCTGAATTAAAACGAGACTTTCCACGGTATGCCTTTCGAAAGACCGAAGCACTTGCTGTGCCACTATGTACTGGGCTGTATCTGAGATATTGGGACAAAAGTGGTAAAAAATACATTCATTATCCAGCTCACGCATTGTATGTCTACTACAGTCGTTCAAATAAGCTCCATCTAACATTGATCACCTGAAGCGGGGTGGTTTTCCAATTATTACGTTCCATTTGAATGGATTTTACATTGGTGAATCTCTCTTTTTGACTTATATATTACGTCTGTAACGCTGGGAAATTATCCATGCTAATTCATTTTTGAGCTACAAAAAGTCATTTGACATGAAGAATGGCGATGGTCTATGTGTTCTTTTCTGAAGATATGGAAGCTTCAGGTCAAACCAAATCGGACAAAATTAAAATAGAAGCAGCAGAACGAAAACCTTTGTCCAAAGTGCGACGTCAGTAACATTGAATGGCCTTCCTTTTTTTCATCCATGGGAGAAATGATACAATTTTCACCGGAGAAGGTACAGGTATCTTTTCTTTATAAGGCACTGTTGAAAGAGAATTTCTGTACCAACCCATCTTTGAGATATAACATAATACGTGATTTAGTTTTGAGTCTGGTGTTACGTCAGTAACTTTGGAACTGACCTACTCCATAACTCTTATTGTCATTAGCGAATAAGAGAGTAATGATTAAATAATGTATTTCTAACGCCAGGAAATTGATTGACTGCGCTCTCTAGTGCAATAATGCGTATTTCTCGATACTGCTTCTACGAGAAAAAAAGTATTTCCTTATACTCAAGATTTTTGCCTAATGGTCAGTATTTCCGAAAATGGCTGAAGCAGCCTCAGCTCTTCCCATGCATTAAATTCAAGAATCATCCCAATAGCACTCCCATTAGACTTGGTTCTCATGCCACAGCCCTGAAGCTATAAAGAAGTTTTACCTGAAAACGAAGAGAGCGATCAGAGCAAAGGTGAAAACCAGCTGGATGCTGAGGATGCCGTAGACCCGACAGACGAATCTCTTCCGAATGCTTTTATCCGAGAAAGAAGACCCGAAGCCAATTTCTCGGGCCTCTGCCTCCTCTACGTCGCCTTCGAGCCCTGCAACGGGAGCTCGGCCTTCTGGCGCTTCCTCCTTCCATGCATTCGGCTAAAATCAATGTTGCAAAATGGATCCAAGGATTTCGTTTTTGCTATTGAGTAAGGTAACAAGTTTCTTGCTTCAAAAATTTACTTGAAGAATTGTCACTTTGAAAAGGTTCTTTATGGGTGAAATGCCCAGTTTTTCCAGATGATGCTTGCCTTAGAGTATTATTCCTCCAGAAATATTTCATAGCATCACATGTAGAAGGGGAGGTGCTACTGCAATAATAAGTTTCAAAATGAAATAAAAGTATTCAAGGGTTATTCAGAAAATTGCTTGATTGCCCCTGCAGATGGCCAGGCCCAGACATGACCAAAGACGTAAATAATGCGTTAGTACTTATTTTTTCCGTCTAAAGACGTTTGCGGGATACCCACAGATCGCAGAGGATTAACTCCCATTATAGCGCATGAGGTACGTTTAGCTATTATTACTACATATCTAGAGCCATTTAAAAACGGGGTTTTGTTCGCTTGGGTGACTGCAGTATGAATACAGACAACTACAATACTCCGGAAACGTTTATAGCGGTCGATATTGGAGACTAGTTAGGTGGCACGAGGTGCTGGAAATACGCAACTTCAAAGATTCAAATACATTATTCATATAGCAAGTAACGTGATCCAGCTCAAAATGAACTGCAAAAGAGGGAACCATTTTCAAAAAGTTCAATTCAATATTTCCTTCGCTTGAATAGTTCCAAGAGTTTCTCGCATGGTCTTCTATACAGGTGTTTCCATTATCCCATAGCCTAAGAGCGGAAGATTTTTCACTTTCAACTTGCCGGTCGGAAGTGAAAAACTTACAGTCGGTTGCGTGGGGAATGGAGCCATCCACCCGTGTGGCAGCGGCTGCTGATTGTGAGGGACGGTCGCTGGATGCTCCACAGCATTTGGGAACTCGTCGCTTGGTCTGAGTGGGCTTCCCGCCGAGTTTGGGAGTCCAGTCAAGTCGGTCCCGCGTCCGATGCTTTTTCGGTTCATCTCCAATTGTTGCTTTTCAATTTCCGACGTAATCGAAAATATATTGCTTGCCGCATCTTCGCCTTTCCGCTGCTCCGTATTTCCTCTAGAAAACTTAAAACAGAGGACAATTACATTCTCTTAAGAGCTTTAGCAAACCGCCCAATAGAACATAGAAAAAATGACGAAAAAAATTGCATTGAAGAGCGACATCTACCAATGAAAACGAAGTTTGATTATTCATTGAAGATCATCGGAAGACTGAAGGTCGCAGGCGACTTCTTCCGTCAGTTCGACACTCGCCCTTTATCAATCTTCCATTACCAATGCATTTAAGCCTCTCATATTTCCCAGCATTTTGAACAGAAGCCGAAATCAAACCGGACCACTTGTATATTTTCCCGAGAAGCAGTGCCAGAAAGCACCGGAGAATCATTTCCCGATATCCAATCCATTCGATTTTTTTTTAATCCTACCTCCAACACTTACCGCTTCATCAAGTTCAGATCCCTCGTCCTTCCAGGCAGATGAGACGGCTTGGTGCGATGCAGGCCTGTGTTGTTTACCTGCGATTGACGGTTGACGTACGTTTGCCACTTAAGAAATTTGAAGGTTCTACATTCTGAAGGCACTATTGACCTGGTGGTCAAATTTATTTCCTGCGTCAAGATCGACCGTCCCAGTAACATAAAACAGTCGAGCTCCTCTCAAAAAAATTAAATTTTCCTTGTGGTACATCTTGGTCGCCCACTGTCTGTTCCACATAATGCATGGACCATTTTCACCATTATAATCCCCCCAATATATTTGTTGCTCTTGAAGGCATCTAATCCCCTAGGGCAGCGGTTCCCAAACGTTGGGTCGCGACCCACCGGACGCATGAAGGTTCAATGCGAGGAAATGGAGGTTTTGGGAACTACTGCCCTAGGGTCAGTCACGGGAAGGCATTAAACGGCGCAATAAATCCGTGCACTACCATTCAGGTAAAAGAGTTCTGTCACGACTCGATGCAATGTTGGGGATTTCGCGAATCGACTTGATTTTCTCTTGCTTTCTTATTACCATTGAAACCTACTATACTCCATCGATTCCCTTTAATTATTCTGAAATCGAAGATGAGGAGTCCCTTCTCCCAACACTTTTGAACCGCCCCCGCGCCTGAATCCTCTAGAGCCGATTAATTCTCATTGAGATGATAACTTCAAAAATTGGAGGAAATTGTCAATATCGAGTCTTTCAAGTGCCGCAAAGACCACTCGAATAAAGTGAGAGCACTTCCCGATTTGTAACGACAGATGAAGCCTGGAATCCTACTGGATTTCGGCACCATCGTTTGCGGGTGGTCTTTATGAAGGGAAAATCGAGTAACTAGTGTTAACGCAAAGGTGATAAGGGGAATGCAATAGATGGAGAAAAAGATTGTTCGGGTTTTACTCGAAAATGAACGAGGTTTATTACTCCTTCAATACTGTCACCTTCTATTACCGGCGTGAGGTGGTACTAGATTCGAGTGACATCTGTTTTAAGAGGTAGAGTTCTTCAAATTATCATTGGTCTAGCAGATCCCATTTGTATGTTCCAAAAAGGACATATCTTTGAATAAAATAATGCGTATTAATGCACGAATGCCATATAAAAGTACCCATAGAAAAAAAAATACGGAGGTGGTGTAATGATTATAAACGGTAAGAAACTTCCGCTGAAGTCACAGAAGGTGTAATCTCAAAATGTGAGAAAGGAGGCGAGGAAAGGGAGAACCCCCTCAATTTAACACGAAAATGGGTTTATAATGTGTAAAACATGCCCACTGTTAGAGTGGACGATAGGATGACTGGCAGAATGACGGGATGACGCTATTTGACATGAGTGAAGCATTTTTGTCATAGTGCATCAGGAAAGATAAGAATCGACCGTGTTCATTTAACGAAGCTGTTGATAGTGGGGAATATTTTGAGAAAGTGCAAGTTATATGCGTTCGCTTTTCATAAGGAAATTTTGAATTTTTCCCTCCATGCATTCACCGGCGGAGCCCAAGCACATGCAACCTATCCGAGAAAGGGATGATTTATGTATGATAAAGTAATCCCCATGAAATGTGGAACGGAAATGAGTGAATAAACCTTAGCACGAGGAGACTCATTTTCTTCTAGCAGGATATCCCCTTTAGAAGATTCGTCATTCGTCGACGAATCTCCGTACCAGTGCATCGCTAGTGTGTGGAATGTGGTGTGTGGTGTGGAGTGGTGGGAGGTGTGCGGAGGTATTCGATAGATACGGATGATCTCACATCCGCAAGATAGCCGCCGAAGAAGGTATTACTTTCTTGTGTCATACTTCCGTCATAATGTCCCTTCCGTTTTATGGCAAATATGAAGGCAAATAACTGCAAGGACAGGACTAATAAGCGTGGTCAGAATAATTCATTTGATGACGCGAATCTTCCTAAGAATTTGACACCCGAGTGAAAATTGGGCGACGCATTTAAATTGGATTTTGACTCGCAGATTCCGATTGACAAACCTAACGAGGTTCTATCGACAGGTTCCACATCGAATGGCCAAGGCCCTGCCTCTCCCAAGTTGTTTCGGAAGGTTAGTCTTTCTTAGTGACGCACTTCTGTGCCAGAAGCGGAAAATTATTCATTGGTGAAACAAGGAATTCTTATTCACATCATAATGCATAGATTTTTTTTTCATGGAAACATCTTAGTTTTGATAATGTAATGTAAACAGGCAAAACCTCTACATTTCAATGGATTCGAAATCAAATCTCACATGGGATGATTGGTTTTTCCGGAAAGTCTTCGATATTGTGATATATATTCTCTCCCTATTGCAATAAGTTAATTTCTGGATGAAAAATATGGACGAAGCACATCTCATGGACCACTTCTTATCTTCTCCACGTGAGTCATGTAAGGGATGTGGTTACAAAAAGCTTTACGTCATTTTCTTAGATAAGCAAATCCGCATTTTTCTTTCACTATTGCCGATTGCTGACTTCAACGAATTGACCTCTGACACAAACATAGAACTTTGCAACCTCCGTAAAATGTTCTTTCAAAATAAAAATAAATCGACGATGTGAGGGTATCGCCTCATGGGCGTCATATATAGGGTGGGCCAAAAGTTTTTGCCCCAGTATAAAAAGGTGAATATCTCCTAAACGGTTTGGGCTACAGAGTAAAAAAAAACTGAAAGAAAGTTCATTTCATGCTCTTTCTGAAAATATATGGTTTTAGACCGATTGCTGACTTCAACGAATTGACCTCTGACACAAACATAGAACTTTGCAACCTCCGTAAAATGTTCTTTCAAAATAAAAATAAATCGACGATGTGAGGGTATCGCCTCATGGGCGTCATATATATACGCGTGAGTCGTTTCCTCAAGGGTTTGCGACGTATAGTATCGATGCTGTTGCAATTTCGACTTCTGAGGTTTTTCATTCATGCTTTACAAAGAAGAAAGCAAAGCAAGTGCTAACCCTTTCTCATTTTCCTTTGAAAATTTACTCCTGAAAAGCGAAAAGGAGTGAAAATCGGACTTTTCCATGTTTCAAGTATCACAATTGATGTCCCTGTCTTTATGGCATGTCAAGAGGGGGTCTCGCAGCTCAAGTGGTCTCCAATGGCCATGGCGGCAGCGCAAAGCAGGCGTTATCGATATTGCCGAAAAAGTTCGTAACCTATTTCCCAAGTGCTATTATGCGAGCCAGAAGCCCGAGACTCTCAGACGCCCGCAGAGATGAAACCATGTTCTGCTTTTCTGCTAGGAAACTCGTCTGACCTTAAAGTGCGAAAAATGTTGTGCGATGATAGACATTTGTAGTTATATACCTCCCTCCCACTATGTCTGTGAAGACCTGTAAAGCATTCCTAACGCTGGTTAAGGAAGCTCTCGTATCCTTAACTGACACTCACTGCATGAAACCTTTGAGTTCAAGGATAACAGATGCATGTCTCAGTAAGCAAAGTATCAGATGAGGAACTTATTACCAGTAGCATTGATATGCCGGGAATGAAAATACAGAAAATACGCGAATATATATCGTATATGTAACAAGAAGAAGAGGACTTCAAGACGAGATGGAAAACGTCCCAATAGCAGCTTCCGACTCACCCGCATATCTTAGAAAGTTGCACACCGAAGCCCAGAGACAGAAAGGTTCAGGGAGACTCCCAAGGTGCAAATAATGATGGGAGGGAAGCACCCAAGCCTATGTGGCGGAACGGCCCACCACGACTGCACTGGCCGAAGTCTGAAGAGAGGGAGAGGGAGAGAGAGAGGGAGAGAGAGGGAGAGGGGGAGAGAGAGCGAGATAGAATTGCTCCTAGAAATACAAAAGTGCGCTCTTCATGACGAAGTTGTGCAGTTGCACATGCGAGAACGAAACTGCAAGCTCCATGAAGATGTGCAATATCGTCGCGTTAAGCGCATTTTCGTATCGATGGAAATGCTGCATTTTTTCTAGAAACTTCTTATTTCCCACGACAGATGAAGGAAACGTTTGAGTTTTGCGTACGTTTTTATCTCATAAAAAATATCGTGACTCTATTCCAATTAAATCTTTTTTACCCTCCTGCATCAGGACAGTACTGAACGGCATATATCGACCTTTCTTTTCACGATTCGATTTTTTGTAAACTTAGAAAACGTTGTCTTATTTAGAATGTTATTTAGTAGGATCAATCGCTGTGTACGAAATGATTCCGTATTTGAATTTTTATTTCATGCCATTATATTGCATTTCAACAAATAACGCAGCAATGGGTATCAATTATATTGAATATAATAGAATAGTGTTATACAAAAGAACCATTTCCCATATGATTTTCCCCAGATTTCAGTTTATATATGCATTCGATTATGGCACTGGTATATATGGTACTAGTGCCATGTCTGTTCGTTAAAAATATTGAACTACTTATATACCCACCTTTACCACTTTCATTACGTTTGAATCGGTAAACTTTTTATCCCTAGACTTCATGTGCTTCATGCATGAATGGCCTCTGAGTAGCCTCTCAAATATCTGAATGTTCGTGGGGGATTTGCTTATTTTTATTGTAGATAAATATTTTTATCTATGATACATGTCTACATTTTACCTGCGTACGTAGGTAAATAAGTAATATTTTTATTGTAGAAAGCTAGGCTGTCGATTGCTCTTGCAATCGACAGCCTAGCTAACCCCGAAGCAAAATAAAAATTAATTGATTCCTAATTGATTAACCTGATATACCATTTGAGGTTTCGAGTGTTTCCAATATTGAAAATATGTTTATGAATCCCTGAAACTTGCTGAGCGAATGAAGCACGATCGGACTAATCTGAGCAGAAGGCAATTTGTTTTTTGAGAAATTATGGTGGGCGAGGGCAGAAAGTACAAACAATTATGTAATATACTGGATGCTCATTCAGCAAGAACTGCAGACTGGCACTCCAATAGTATTGACTTGAATTAGTGCGCTTTTGGGAAGTCTGCATTACTGAAC